TTGATTTTTTTTTTTGGCATTTTCGTTTTTTTTTTTTTTTTTGGGGGGGGGGGGTTGTTTGTTTTTTTATTGTAAATGATACAGCTGAAGCCATCTGGTTCTAACAACATCAGAGGGAGAGCATACTGTTCATAAACCTCCCACTGACACCCTCCCCTCCCCAGATCTGAAATGTAATTCAAGTTAACTCACAATCTGTGGCATGTTTTGTTACTGCAGGGATGGCCATGCCAGTTGAACAGTTGGAGATTTGAATTCCACGAGGAGATAGTATATTTATCAAAACAAGATTTCAGAGAGACATTTTTTTATGACTTGGTCTTCTCAACTGCAGTGTAGCCACCACAGACCCAGGTCCAAAACCTAGGTTGGACCCCACGCTCCTGCTTTTAATTCCACCTCTTTCCCCCCCTCCTCAGGGTATTACAGAGAGACATTTCATCCCTGTGTGCAGTATTTCATATGCTTCCTTCTCCCTATTATCTCCTTGCTCCTGCTTCCTCTGCCTCCTTTTGTGCTGACCTAGGAGGGTTGCAGCCTTCATCTGGATGAGGGGAGGGAAGAGGGGAAGGAGAAAACACCTCAGTGGATCCGACCTCTCCAGCAGCAGGAGGATGTTCCGAGTGCCCTTCAGCCAGAAGCAGTCAGCTCTCTCTGAGGATCCAAACACCAAATGTTTTTTACTGGCCAAAAGATTTCTTGCTGGCTGCCCCCTTGGGCTTTGTTATTGCAGACTCGGATTCTATTGAGGTATTTTTCTTATTGTGTGAGTTTTTCCAGATGAAAGGAAACAGCTTGTCTGCTTATGAGCAGAACAAACAGCAGAGTGGGGAGAGCTGCTGTGCTTTGAAACTCTCTGGGTCTTTGTTCTGGTTTTCAAACTGCAGTTAAGGACACAATACCATATCTCTTTTTTTTTTCGTTGTTTTTTTTTCCCCTTTTATTTCCCCTCCACTTCCTTGAAGGAGCCAGATATATTAAAACAAAGAAACCAAAACCAAACTTCATTGCAGGTTTCTCAAATTCTGTGCAATTAATTTGCAGAAGGCTTTGCTAAAATAATTACCTTGTTCAGTCAACTTGGGCCATGCAGTTTTTCTTTCTCTCTTGACTTCCATTGAACTTGTGTTGCAGAATTACTTACCTCACTTATTTCTAATGACTTTTTTTTGTTGTTGTTAATATAAAGATACTTAATTATAAAGGGTGCATTTATTATTTATTTTTGCCTGCTGCCCAGTTGGATCTTTGGCTGCAATTCCAGGCACATGCTGCAGCAAATTTGGCCTTGGCAATTCTGGTTTCTTGTCTTATGTTACATTTAAAGTTTACTTCAAATTAAAGTTAACTTTAAAGCTGCCAGAGGTGGTGCTGAAGGGTGCACAGCAAAAGGGGGTATGGCTGGGAAGTGCCAGCTTGAACTGCACAAGGAAACAATGAGTAAAAGAAACTATGAGACAGATGGAATTAAAAAGAGCCCATTACATAGTTGGAGAAATAATTTGTTGTTGATCTGGAAGGTTTTTGGAAAATAAGTACGAGTGGTTCAGTGTAGGAGGTGGCCTTTGAATTCAGTTGGAATTTGGGCAGAGCAGAGGCAAGAAAATTCAGCTGAGTTTTGTGTTAAGTTTGGGCTTGGATTTTACATCTTGTTCCTGCTTGATACATTAGACTTTGTCTCTGAGACTGAATAATTAAAATCACTTGAGGAAATGTGTTAATTGATGGAGTAAGTTGGGAAGGGATTGAGAGAGAATTGCAATTATTCCATCAAATGATGAAAAATCACAGGCAGGAGAGATAAAATATAGGGCTCCTCTTTGAATAATTGAAAAGCATCAATGGCTCCCCCCCAAAAAGTAGTAGTTAATTGAGATGGTGGATGATAAACTGAGTGGGAACTGGAACACTTCTCCCTGCCCTCCAGAAAAGAAATGATGGGCTGTTATGCTGGAGTATTTTTCTCCAATTCAAATGCAGGAATGTTACTTTGAGCTCTGCCATTGGGTGATGGAGCAGGAATTGAAGAGCAAGTCGTTGACTCTTGCCACTGGGGAGCAGTGTTGAGGACAAGAACTCTTCAGATGTTGGTACCGAGCTGCCAGGGAAGCTTTCTGAGCCTTGGCATAGCCAAGAGGTTTTGCATCTGGGAGAAATGGGATGAAAACAAACAAATGAAAACCATTTTCTAACTGTCATTCCACTTCTGGAAGGCTCCTGGCAGACAGAGATTATCCCTGGGCATCTTTGAGTCATTCAAAGCCTACTAGAGAAGACACTTCATCAAGCAGGGATCTGGTTCTGGTACAGGGAGAGGTTGGTCCTTGGTATTTAATCCCTGCCATTCCAGAGGGTGACATCCTTGCCTGGATGTCTGCTCAGCTGCTCCTCCCTGGAGTGCTTATTTATCTTAGCACGATAAGATGAAGCACTGCAGGTATTAACTCTT